GAAATGTTTATATGTATATATGTTTTTATATTTTTTAAGCATACCTATATAGGTATAGGTACATATGCTTTTATGTCTTGCATCTGTTTAGTTATGATTAGGAAGTGTTTCAAAATTAGGTTTATTTTTTTATTATTATATAATTGTAACGATGATGAGGTACATAAACACTTATTATTGATATTATTTATTTTTGTTGGCCGTCAAAGGACACGCACACTAATCCCGCACATTCACCCGGCTTTTTAGTATATATGCGCCGGTGTCCATTAGACTAAAAAAAAGTGGCTTCATTCGAACATATTATAATATATTTATATATATTACCGTACATATATTATTATATACCTATAAATAATATATACATGTGTGTGTTATAAGTACACTGTACTTATACAATACCGGGTCCACAACAATAGTGATATATATACACATAAGCCGGAGTAAACACGAGGGTGAAAAAAAGAAAAGAAAAGATTGTATACACGCAAACATCTGAAATTGAAACCGGGCGTACTTGTACGATGATATTATTATATTATTGTGTTGTCAGCTCTTCAGTAAATTTGTCAGGCCTGTCAAAATCGCGTAGGTATCGTAAAAGTAACATAATACCTATACGTAGGTATATATACGGTGTAGCCTTTTTCACGGGTAATTTTTCAATTATTACATAATGTTAGGTACCTATCTTTATAGGTACCTTAAAAATATTATAATACATATTATAATAGTATATTTATTCCGTGTAATACGCTTCGTTTTTTCCATTGCTGCAATCGTACTGTACATACCTACTTCTTTTACTTCGTCGAAAATTATATTTTTATGTGACARAATTATTGGTTTGTACTTGTGGATTTAACTTTGACTTTTTTTTTAAACATCCACAAATTAAACGATTTTCTTGTGCAGCTTATATTATTTGCAGTTGAAACAAACAAAAACGTTACATTATTTTATCAGCTCTCGCCAGGCTCGTCCGAATCGAAGTCGGCTGTATACACATAACTATACTCAAACATACATTTCGACTTTCAAGTTTCAAGTTTCAATCTTACTATCATTATTATAATATAAAGGTACGCAGTAGGTATATATATAATAGATTATGTTTTTATACCTTTTATATACCGTTTAACACACTTGAAAAACTACCCCAACTGCAGCACCGGTCGCTGTAAATAATATTATTAACATTTTTCGTAAATATTATACGTATTGTAACACTGTCGTCAGTTTTTATAGCATTACATTATAATAATGATAGTAAGATTGAAACTTGAAAAACTACCCCAACTGCAGCACCGGTCGCTGTAAATAATATTATTAACATTTTTCGTAAATATTATACGTATTGTAACACTGTCGTCAGTTTTTATAGCATTACATTATTATTATATTGTCGCGAGTATTCCCAAAACACAGCCGAGTGTTGACAAGGGGAAAATCGTGCGGATCAATATGCGCTTTCGAAAAAGAGGGTCGCATGGATGAGGGGAGGGATTATAATTGACGCCATTTTGTTTTTAGAGTTCCAATGGCACTATTGTTRTTATAACGAATAGAATTTCAAAGAAAAGAGGAAGTATTTTTATTGTGACATGTCATTATTCTAAATCATATAATATATAAATGTATGTGTGCGAGTCTCTGCAGAGTGCGAGCAGTTCACAAAATGTCATAGACAGATCGATATAAAAAATATAATATACACTTTCTAACACAGCTAACACCAACTAATATAGGAAATATATTACTAATATTATGGTTCACCTATCGTGACGTTAAATTTTATTTTTCCCCTGAACAAGTTATTTCTTCATTGATTATGCAAATTGCAATATACATTTTATGTATAAAATCACGTTTGACGTGACATCGAATTCAATATATTTCAGTCTTGGGAATAATTTTATTTTGTAAACCAATATAAAATGCAAAAGCAGATATTTTTGAAAACGTAAACTTTAAATATATATTTATAAAGGCAAATTGCAAATATAATTGTTATATAAATTATATATGATATTATAATGTATATAAATATAATACATACCTAATATATATGTATATATTTTCTGATTTATACAGGTTAAGGTTAAATTATTGTTGAAGAAACTTTATCTATGAATCCATAATATTGAATATTTATATTTGTCCTCGGCGTATTTATAATGTTATATAGGTATTGTAATATTTGAAATAAATTCGGCGATTGTAGGTTTTTGACCAATATTATTAACTCAAAATTACTCTTAACCAACTGCTGATGCGCTGATACATTAATGCAATATTCTAATATCGTGTATTTTAAAATATATATTGAKATTAGATGTATTTATACCAACGTTTAAAGTTTAATGTTTTTATGTTAACTGCACAATTATTATGAGCTTTATGATCTTACAAACATATTAGCCATGCAACAAACGAAAATATACTACCAACACCAATAATAATAGACCTAGATATTTTAAATAACCAACTTCTTTGTCTACAAATTTCTAATTTCTATTTAATATCTTATTTTTGACTCTTAAATAATAAATTATGAAAATATTAAATGCTCTTCCTTACCATTCCTTGTTCTTTTTCAAAATCGCAATAACCAATAGTGGGTTGATGGTAAGATGCCATCGAYGGCATATTCGGAGTGAACATGAGTTGCAGATTCGTCCCCGTTGTGGCAAAAGCCTATGATAGCAATACGAGAATGAAAAATGTATAAACAATTAACGGGAAAAAAATGTGTGGGTATAGGTACTCGGCTGTTTTCCGATTGTTATTATATTGATTTAATACGTACGATGTCCACGTGTCCTTCGCGACAACCCATTTGAAAACGATTTTGTCTTTCTTCATGAGGCCTGTCTCTGTAACTTGTGTATCTYACCTATAAAAAGAAAAAAAATCAYATCAATATAAATACTATTCATTTTACTAACATTTAATATATTTTTGAACRGTTTGGACATTTATAACATTTTATGTTTCACTGTTACGCCCCATCATATATGCATATTAWGTAAAATACTGAATTATACAACTTTTAGCCAAACCCACGAAACGGGTGCATAAGCTACAGTTTTCACAATTCATATATGAATTATGAAATATCTATTTATTTATACAGATATAGCTAAAACAATTTTCATATTTCATGATGTGGACACCAATAAAAGTTGGTAAATTACTAAATTCACGAATTATGAAACTATAATTATTAATATATATATAATGAATAATTTTGTAAGAATTATAGTTATAATGAATCAAACTTAATATTTTTATATACAGTGTAGTAAATTATGAAATAGTTAACCTACATGTAGTCAAGTCATCAGAATTCCAAAGGTAATCGTATTCAAAATGTATGAATTATATGTAGGTAATTAATTAATCAATCAATCAGAATAAATATTAATCACTATTATAGGCACTTTGGTCTTATTTTATATTTTCATGTTATAAGTAGGTAATAGTAGATGCAAATATAYAGAAAATACATTCAAATTCATATTGCTGCCGTGTCTGCAGCTCGTCGTTCAAGTCATAGGTATGTAGGTACATCATGTGATTATAGATTTTGTGTAATKAGGAAAGATGTTGTAGGGGGCCTACAAAAAGCAGRCAGGGCCAAAAAATTTTGACCCCCTAATGGAAAAATTCTGACTATATGCCTGATTATAATAATATTATAATATAGCATTATTGATGTATAGTTTATACATAAATTATAAATTATATCATATATAATAAAATTACAAACATTTTTTATATATATACATATGTATTCCTATACGGGGCAACTAAAATGAATATACTTAAACGTTGATAAATTTAGTCAATATGCGTATGGCGTATAATGTTAGGTGTTAGCCGCAAAATATGGTTTCGATTCTATGCAGCAGCTGTGAATCATTTAAAAATTGACCATCTAGATTTTAGACACACGTGGTGGTCAGTGTGGCACTGCGGTACTACAAAATATCAGGTACAGCGTTTATATAGTGGCGGCAAAGTGTCACAAGACCTGCAGGTCACTAGAGAGGCCACATGGTTTCCGATAACTGTCTTTTATCACGATTAATGACTTATTTCGGTCAATATTTCTTTTGTGAGTAAAAACCGTCATAACGATCCACCAGCTAATGGAAATTTAAAAATGTGAATTTTATATAATATATAAATGCTGCAACATAATATATGCAACGCATGTTGCACAGTTTTAAATTTAATATGTACATTTATACTTAATACATTTTATAATTTTTTTAGATTTCTAAATTTTGATCTGAAAATAATGCTATATTATGTGTTATTATTATATGATTGTTTCAAAAAGCAAAAACTATTATAAGATGGTAAACCTTAATAAACGTATGTATAAAATAATATAGACTCTGCAGACGTGCTTGAACCCAAAACACTTTTTTTCCAGTTATCTTAAATGTCCATTTCCTGATCCTGGCCAGAACTAAATTTAGCGTATAAATCATCATAAATCCTTAACAAATCACCAGTGTACTATAGTTAGATCACCCAAGTAGTAGTGATTCAGTGTCATCAAGAAACAACAGTATGCATGAGTTATCTGAAGAATTGGAGCAGATGCTAAGTTATGTGGAGTCGAAAAATGAAGAAAGAATAAATGCAGTGCTGCAGAAGTCAGGCAGTCCATTGCTAGTCATAGTGATACTCCTCGATAAGGTAGTAGAAATGGAAGTAGATTTTGGCGCATGTGTATCATGAATAAGCGAAGGTTTGTATTTGAAAATGTTTTCATATGCACTATTAATTGATGTAGTACCTAGTTAAATTTGTATCAGTTAAATATTAAGTTATTGAGAAAACTGTTGGTTAACGTAGGCTGTGTGGTGACGTTGTAGACAARACTGTTCGTTTAGAATTATTTGTCGTAAAAAGTAATAACCATGTGTATTACTTTTGGGTCGAGTCTGGTTAGATAGACTGTATCCAAGTTGGATAAATGTTCTACAGACAAACCAAGKCTCAACAAGTAATAATATTTTGGACACATTAGCTGTTAAATACCCAAACATTATCCCTTCTTCGAATCAGGTAATAAAAAATTATCAAGCTAAAATACTATTAAAAGATTATGTTAACCAAATCTTTCATAAAGCACATGCCGTTATTCCATTTAAATTGAGACAACAAGTGAGCATAATAGAAATTGCTAGATTAGTGTATAAAGGAATGAAAATGGCAGCAAGAAGTGTATTGTGGTGGAAAAATATAAAAACATTATGTTAAACCGTTGAACACAGTGGCGTATTATATTATTATTTTTTTGTGGGGGGGAGGGGTGTCTTCTATGTCTGGACACCCCTTTAGTTTAAAAAAAATGTCCTAATATATTGGACATTGGGGTCATTTATTTTATAGTATACTATTTTTATTTTATTATAAAATAAATAATATTTTCATAACGGAAAAACTGAAATTAATTTTATTAGATTCCATAACACCAGCAATTTATCTACAGCTTATCAAGAATATACAGAAATTATTTGAATTTCGCCGGGTCATTAAGATAATAAAAATACTCGCAGGCCGCAGCGAAAATACAATAACGAAAATATTGTGAACGTTTATATAYCTAGTTTATTTTTAAATCTAGTTTACCGTTTATCAAATTAGGGAATTGTACCTTACATTATTAATAATAAAGTTGAAAATAATTTACGTTATAATTCTAAAAATGTTGTTTGTGAGGTTCAATAAATTTTGGACACCCCCCGATGAGTAATCACCCAAAATATTCCACTGGTTGAACGTAATGCTTAACAACTACATGGCTGTTTAAAATAAATATTTCTGTATGCAAATACAGCCACATTTAAAAATACGACAGTACTTAAAAAATCGTTAAAGGCCAGTGTGGTGCAAGTCTAAGTTTTGGGTTTCATCATAATATTTGAAAAAGTTATACTCTTTAATATGTTTCCAAGTATTTAAGTTTTTAATTTTAAACGTATTGGTAAAGAACTCTTTAAAATATCTTAATTTAAACTTTAAATACTTTTTCAATTATGACAGTATTATCTAGACATGCGAAATTGCGAACAATGTATTAGCGTCATATTATTAATAACGCATTCACATGTTGATTAAAAAAAAAAGTAAACTATTGATGTTCGGAATAACTGTAAATTACCGAAATCGGAATCCCGTAGAGCGAGTAGATACAGATGCTTTTGAAAAGAAAAAACCACCACAAATAACGATCTACGAATCGGTCACACTACTGTGAGAGTTCAGTTTTATATATCTTGAACATTCGCCATATTATATTGTAAAATAAAATATAGTAACCATGGTATATTTAGGTTAATTGCACGTGTATACGAATATATTTTCAACTAAACGTTTAGATGAGTAATATATTTAATATTATATTTAATATACATAATGCTGACAAGTACCTATATGCAGCACTATGTGCAAATTATAATCATAATATCAAATAATATATTGGGAATATATTTATAACATTTCACCTATTAGTTATCCTTATCTAACTCGTAAAAATGTAAAATTATTTAATTATTGTATATATGTACCCACAAATAAATTAAAGTCAAATAACCACCACATTTATATCTGACGTACCTAATCTATTGAAAGGTTATAATACTGTATATTAGCATTACAAATATAAATGTACATTAAATATATGTGTGTGNTACAGCTTATCAAGAATATACAGAAATTATTTGAATTTCGCCGGGTCATTAAGATAATAAAAATACTCGCAGGCCGCAGCGAAAATACAATAACGAAAATATTGTGAACGTTTATATAYCTAGTTTATTTTTAAATCTAGTTTACCGTTTATCAAATTAGGGAATTGTACCTTACATTATTAATAATAAAGTTGAAAATAATTTACGTTATAATTCTAAAAATGTTGTTTGTGAGGTTCAATAAATTTTGGACACCCCCCGATGAGTAATCACCCAAAATATTCCACTGGTTGAACGTAATGCTTAACAACTACATGGCTGTTTAAAATAAATATTTCTGTATGCAAATACAGCCACATTTAAAAATACGACAGTACTTAAAAAATCGTTAAAGGCCAGTGTGGTGCAAGTCTAAGTTTTGGGTTTCATCATAATATTTGAAAAAGTTATACTCTTTAATATGTTTCCAAGTATTTAAGTTTTTAATTTTAAACGTATTGGTAAAGAACTCTTTAAAATATCTTAATTTAAACTTTAAATACTTTTTCAATTATGACAGTATTATCTAGACATGCGAAATTGCGAACAATGTATTAGCGTCRTATTATTAATAACGCATTCACATGTWGATTAAAAAAAAAAGTAAACTATTGATGTTCGGAATAACTGTAAATTACCGAAATCGGAATCCCGTAGAGCGAGTAGATACAGATGCTTTTGAAAAGAAAAAACCACCACAAATAACGATCTACGAATCGGTCACACTACTGTGAGAGTTCAGTTTTATATATCTTGAACATTCGCCATATTATATTGTAAAATAAAATATAGTAACCATGGTATATTTAGGTTAATTGCACGTGTATACGAATATATTTTCAACTAAACGTTTAGATGAGTAATATATTTAATATTATATTTAATATACATAATGCTGACAAGTACCTATATGCAGCACTATGTGCAAATTATAATCATAATATCAAATAATATATTGGGAATATATTTATAACATTTCACCTATTAGTTATCCTTATCTAACTCGTAAAAATGTAAAATTATTTAATTATTGTATATATGTACCCACAAATAAATTAAAGTCAAATAACCACCACATTTATATCTGACGTACCTAATCTATTGAAAGGTTATAATACTGTATATTAGCATTACAAATATAAATGTACATTAAATATATGTGTGTGTGTGTGTGTGTTTGAGCTCAGATTTCTTATCAGTTGAAAAAAATAATACTTATCATAATAAATTATAATTAAAGTATGATATAAAGATTGATATGTTTAGTTTGCAGGCAGTAAGGCAGTTTATCCATGACYCGCTGCAAACAGTATAAAATGGTACAAGATATTTTTGTAAAAGATTTTTCAGGACTACGTTTGGAAACTCATTTCACAGTTTCCCGAAGAACTTAATCAGAACTTGATGTGTTCTTACCAGGTTTCACCATTTACTGTATTACCGTGATAATTTAACTTTATACTTGAGTAAAATGGATTTTATTCTTATTTTTATTTTTTGCCAATTAATAATAAAGCAAATTAATCACACTGATGATATTGGTACACCGCACATTGCGATTACTCGGCAGCCATATCGCTGTATATTATTATCTTCTTTTTATCTATATATATTTTTATATTTATAAGTTAAAATAAATTCGAGGAMTAATTATTTTAAGTACCTCATTAGAACGGAAACAGATACAAAATATTTAAAATATTCAAAGAAAAAGACGTGCGTGGGCAGTTGTAGAATTTACATTTTTTCTTTACCAGAATCAAACACATCAACGAGTGTTAAACGAGTGTCTCGTTGATAACTACCACACTTGGACCGACGTCCGTAATCAAATGGATACAAAAGCTGTAGAAAATTTTATGATAACTAATATGTATGTACTAAGTTAAATGAATTGTATTATGAAATAAGAAATAACTCATTCTTGAAGAATGTTCACAGTAACTACAAATATAAGGCGACAAGGATGGGGGAACATTTTTTTGAATATTTATATTATTATGAGCTTGTATCAATATATATATATCAATTAACTTATTCGATAATTAATAGACAACATTTGAGATTAACACTAGTTTATGTTGAAAATAAAAGTAGGCATGTTCTTCCATTTAATAATGTATTATAAAATTTATGGTGATATCACGAGACGCGAGTTTAATTTTTTTAAAGGCCGAGGGCGTCCTATGGATTATAAGTCACAGCTGTAAGCAATTACCTGCGTAAAATTTGCAGTCTATGATTTACCTATTAGTTAATATTTGTAATTTACATATAATTCTTTCGACAATGAACGTGAAAACTGTGGAAAAATCGCAATTTATGAATATATTTAGATTTTAGAGTGACATATTATCATATATTATATTACACATGATATAGGAACCTATGTATGTATGCATGTACAAAAAAATTGTAATAGGAATGGGATCATCGTTGAAGATACTTGTGTCGAAACACGGTGTCTATATGTGTATATAATCAAGAAGTCATAATGTTGGTTCATGATTTTTGTTTAACTGATGCGATTTAAATGTAGGTACTAATATTATAATAATAATTCACTATAATAAGACAAAAAATGGGTTAGTTGGACACTATGTCCAAAGTGTGGTATCTGTTTAAAATAAATTGACCATCATACATTCTATACTCCATACTCGAGTGATGCATTGCAGAATACGGTAGACAGTTAGTAGTTGTACTTACATCACTCTCACGACTGAGTCGTTTGAACAGATCGTCCGTCTGGAACTTATTTTTCTGGTCGGGCACCACTCGAGGCATCTTGAACGCCAACCTGGGCTTGGGCATTTGGTGCTCGAACAACCCCTGGCACATGGGATTGAACGACGGCGGCATCATGTTGCCCGGGCCCATCGACCCGAAATCATTCATCATGAGCATTGGACGTTTTGCGTGCGACTGACGCTATTGCAAGTAGGTACCACTTTAAGTATGACCGTATAATATATATATATATATCTAAGTGTTAGTTTTTTTTTTCCTGATCGCTATATCAACTGCTACAATAACGCCGCCGATAATGGTTATTGTTTTGAATACGAAAGAATTGTTATCATTAATTTCGTTGAAAATATATTTTTATAACTAGGTATATATTATATTAATATGTCTATGTAATTATCCTATTGTTTAAAAACGGACGACCGTGATGGGCACCGTTGAATAATACTATACACGTGTAGTAGAAAACGGAATAATAATTGTGAGCGTAATGATTTACTTGTAACGTCGCCACCGAACCTACAATGACGTCGCGATGACGATAACTACGACGACGACGACGGCGACGAGACGAGTGACGACGATAAACATAATAATAATATAATACGATGACGGTATAGTTGAATGTCGAATTGTGGAACGCACGCGCCGCCACGATAGGACCCGACGAGCGGCGCGGTGGGGCATTAACTTTTTGTACCACCAGCGGGGGTTAGGCCGACCAATCGGATGTCACGGCGGGCGTGTCCGGTGTACGACACACTATTATAACAATATAATGTTCGAGTGCAGAATAATATTTTGCGCGGTCTGTTGACGTGCTCGTCGTTCGTGGCTCGCACTCGTCTCCCGTATTCACCCTCGCCGCCACTCACCCCTAGATAAGACGTTAGTCGAACGAAACGGCGGCGGCAGTGGTTTTATCATATTATATAATTTTTATTGAAATATAATACATATATTGGATAGGCGCACACACGCAACGACGGTGAGCTTTTTCTGGAAATTATTCGACGATCCGTAGTCGTGTTATTAATAATTGTCGCATCGCATATTCGCATATTATATACAAAATGTTCAAGGAGGAAATTGGAGTGCTTATTGGTTTAATTTTGAGTGTTCAAGAAATTACACGTTTAATATAGGTATACAAGCTACAAGCACGATACGTATCGACCTTATAAACTTCGATACGAGTCTGTACGTATAGCTATTCTCAGTCGATATGTATCGAATTCTTCTTCTTGAAAATCTTGTGTATTACATTACTATAAGCGCCTACTTAGATATGAACAATCCAGATGAGGAATCATTTCGAATTGTTATTCAAACTCGGTGCAACCGATTTATTATAATATTAAAATAAATAAGACTTGTCGATTTTTCTCTCCACCGCTTCGAACACGCGCTTTTTACTTTGACGCCGCACTGCCACAGTAGGTATCTCCACAGTAGGTATACGTATACTTACCTATCTGACCATCTATGTAAGTCGTCTCACGCGCGTTTGCATGCCTTCGCAATAATACAGCAGCAATATGCAACGAATATAARTATAAARTATATAATTTATATATACATATAAAAAAAAATATTAATGTTTATTGTTTAATATTGTAGGTATCTATAGTCATATGAATAAATATTTCCTATTCAATACGATTTGACGATTGCAGTGTGATGCATACTGCACCAAAAAAGTACTCACATAATAATTAAATGTAGGTTACCTAGGAGCAAAAATTAATCCATCTATACCAGACAATACAAGAGGAAAGTTGATAGAGCAACAGTGGTTGTGAGCGAATACACACTATTACACACCTTGTTGCAGCCATTACCGTGATAAAATAACGCAATTCTTCTCAATCTTAAGAATTTAATAGAATATAGTAATAATATATATTATGTTTATCAATTATTGGTTACGGTATAAACAAACGGAAGAAATGGCGTACGTTTAGGTAAAACACAAACTTTTAAATAAATTGTAAAGTGGACACCATGAAGACTAGAGATAAGGAGGCCAAACTCTACCACAAAAACAGTCCCATAAAATATCRCAGACTAATTTCTCCACCAGTCTGCGWGGATGTSAAATGCGAGGCTGGCTTGGAGTAAAATTAACCGGTATTAGATAGGGACATACTCGAATTTATTACCTTTAAAAAATTATAATTAAAAAACTAAAAAAAAGCGGGTAA